CAGATTGCTGAGCCACTGAAGTGAAAAGGACCCAAAGTCCATTGGACTCCAGAATGTCAGCATTCCTTTGATGTCTGATATCTCAGGCCATCCCAACCCTGACCTAACTTTTGTGGTGTATACAGATCCCAGTGATGTTGGACTTGGAGTTGTGTTTGTGCAAACAAAGTAGATTATGCAGAGAAATTCTGGCCTATGGCCAGCGTTTATTCCACTACAGAAAATGAGTGCTAACTGTAGTGTGGGCATTCAAGAAATGGAGATACCTGATCACTCCTCCTTGGTTTGGGTGTTCAAAACCTAAAAGGGATCTGCACAATCACTTGCTGGATCCTGTATCTGCAGGAGTTCACCTTTACAGGTGAGTACAGGAAAATATAACACTGCTAAATGCTTTATCCAGAGCCCCTAGTGACCCTGCCAGCAATGGAGCCCAGGTTGCCAGCATATTATCTGTTAAAGGGGAACCTCGCGAGCACATTTCATTATCAGATGAGGACATATGGAGAGCCAACCAGAATGATGCAAAAATACAAAAGATTTACCATGCTAAAATAGATGATGGGAATCTCACTGTGACTGAGGCTACCACGTTCACCATCCTGGAAGACAAGGCCTACAGAGTCTTACAGCTTCCACACTTACAGCTTCAGGTTTGCATACCAGATTGTCTCTGGGAAACCCTTCTACAGTTGTTAGTTGATGACCCTACATTTGGCCACTTTGGCAGATACAAAGCCTGATAAAGGATGCAAACATTGGTATACTGGCCAGGAATAGGTTTGGATTTGAAAAAGTCTGTACTAAAGTCTTAGGTCAGCCAAAAAATAGAAGCCAGAAAACTGTAAGGTGGCGGGAAAACTGCTACAAAGCCTAGTGACGAGGCCCTGGGAGATGTTTGAAGAATTCCCTTGGATGACTGACTAAACGTGTCTCCCAGTGAAAACGCTACATCCAGATGAACTGAATCAACTTTTTGGGTTCTCTTCGTGGATTAAAAACCCAAAGTGGGTATTTTACATTCTACGATGTAGACTTGAATTGACAGAGGATTACCAAAATATAGAGAAGATTTTTTTTCTTTGTGAATGAACTGAGTTAACTGGAACTGGGCTCAGCTAGCCAGAATTGAGAACAGTTATTTCTATTTGAGGTTTTTCATATATTGTTTTCCTTTATGAACCACTTGAGTGGTGTTGTTTTTTCTATTATATAGTATTTAATAATCTCTTTGAAAACTTCTTTGATTGCATCTTCAGGAAAGCTCACTGCAGAGCTTCCAGTTGCACAAGTGTGAACTTGGTGTTATCTGCTTTGCAGTTCAGTCGCTCACAGAGATATTCTGTCCATTTGGTTTACTGAGCCAGTGCTACTGATTCTGCTAAGCTTTATGTTCTACTTCTGTATCTCATGTCCAACATAATTGGAACTCTGTCAAGACCACTTTTCAAAATAGGATTGATATTTTATTTGGAGTAATGTGTTTGTAAAATCATATGCCTATTTTCTGGAACCTCCCAAAACCTTCTTGCAAATTCTAAAGAGGGGAAAGAACCCATCTCTGCGTTTTCCCCTGCATACATGACAAGCACACCAGAAAAGCATCGAGTTTAGCAGCGATAGCCCTCACAGAACAAAGTAGGCATTAATATAACAGATATGGCATTGCTAAAGTCAGAAAAAGCATGGGGGGCATCCTACAGAGTCACCAGCAAACAGTATCCTGCTATTTGTGAACAGCACGCCAAACGGGTATCCGTTTAGCTAAAACTGAGGTGGGCTGGCATTGAGCTCAGCTGATCTGGAGCAGGACTCTGCAGGTTCAGGCCCAAGTTGTTTGATTTTTTGTTTGTTGATGCATTATTACCTTTTTATTTTCCCTTTCTCATTTGTTCAGGTGAAAACTTTGAGCAGAGTCCCCTGAAGAGGACATTCAAGTCCAAAGTTCTGGCACGTTATCCAGAAAATGTGGAGTGGAACCCATTCGACCAGGATGCTGTTAACATGGTATGTGGACTGTGATTTCTAGAGAAATGATAGGCAGAGGATAAAGGAGACTATGGATTCTATCAAAAGTACGGCGGGAAGAGCCCAATGGGATCATTTCTAGAGGAAATGGGGCAGATTAGTGGTTTTGGTCAGAGACAGAGGAAGAAGGTTTTGAGGCTTTGATTTAAAACACAGTTGGGCCTCAAGGAATTGTGGGTAACAAAGCAATTAATACAAATCCGCTCCAAAATTTTGTAGAGTTTTGTACTGACAGTGGCAGATTTATGGTTTTGATTTAGGTCTTTTAAAATCTTGTCAAGAGAAGAGTTCCACACTGCCAAACAGTATTTGGGATAGAGATACCAGACAGATATGAACAGATACGAATCACATGTAGATGAAGAAATAATAGATTTTTAAGGTTTAAGTCTTTAGACATCTATGAAGATCTGTAACAACACAACAGTTAAAAAGGGACAGGCTATGTACTGAATATATGGCTTTACATTCTACCGGTGGCAAAGGTGGGTATATATGCGCACACATGCAAATATGTGCCTTAAAGGGAGTTTCTACTCTGCAAATAAAATATTTTTAAAGTGCTTTCATATAAATAAATTACTGAGTAGTGTAATCAGAATGCCTTTCGGTGCAAAAGTAAACTTGATGATGGCAGTCCCTGCTCTGCTCTGAAGCATAGGTGAGCCCAACGTACTGGGCTGTCAGTTCTCCACCTGCTGCGAGTTCTCTTTGTAGCAGCCCTCCAGCTTCCAGCAACTCACAGCAGACCAGAAGAAATCCTACCATCACCAACCGTAGTCCTAGACAGCAGAGATGGACCACATGTGGC